CTTCCTTAATTCTTTTAGGCACGGGAAAGTAAGCATGTACCTAAACCCTTTTTGTGAGGTTTTATACCTGAGTCCAGCCCTACTTACGTGAAGAATTCACAGATGATATTTACAAGTCCGGTGTAATTACTGCAGGGTTGAAAAATGAGTTCTGTGAGTTACGGTACATCATTGTTTTTCTTGTTTTTCTTTCCTTTTTTTTTTTTTTAATGTTACAAAGAACAATGTGCCTTTCATTTCCTGCAGTGCCGTTAAGGTACTTGTAGCTCAAAGCAGCAAGAATACATTAAAACCAAAAAGCATTTGGTCTGAGCATTAAACATTTTTATTTTTCAGATAAATGCCTCTCCCTCTACAGAAATTGTTTGAGCCGTGAATTTGGCACACGGTCGTAATCAGCTGTAATAATGAATGCTATGCTGTCTCGCTCACTTGAAACGGGAGAATTTACCAACTTCTTTAAAAAGAACTTGCTAATCTACAATTAAAGTGGTGTGCTCCCGACTCTGAGTTACCGACTCGCAGTAACACATGCTCCAGAAACATCACTTGTCTGCAGCGGATGACGCAGCGTTCCTCTGCTGCACGCAGCATTAATTCTGCAGTGCCACCACTCTGCACTGCCACCAGGTACAGCAGTGACACGGCCCTGTGCAGGCTGTGCCCTTCCCCAGCTCCAAACCCCTACCGAAGCAGAGCAGGATCTGATTTGTCATACCACGCTCACAAACATCCCCTGTTGCAGACAGAGACTGAGAAGTTCTTCACAGAAGTTTAAAATAATCCTGCTTACAAAAAAGAAAACCTATCCGATAGCCGTTGCCACTGAAAGGAAGACTAAAAGCCTAAGAGAGAGCCCAGTGCTGAGCCTGAGATTCAGTTGCTGCTGATCCCCAGGCAGGCAGTCCCTTTACTACAGCACACTGCCCATTTTGTCATCCTTGATTCACTGAAAAATAGTTTGTTTCTAAAAGATGACCCCAAACCAGTGCATTTAATGAGCTCTTAAAATCGATTTTTTTTTTTTAATTTTTTTTTTTTTTTTTTTTTTTTTTTTGATTGGGAGAATTGCAAAATCACTTTGCGGTGCCAACTGAAATGGAGCTTTTACATACCATTAGGCAACTACAAAAGTGGGGAATTTTCCACGCGGGTGTTCCACCCAGCTGGTCAAAAAAAAAATAATAAAATAATTAGAGCAAAGTATCAGGGCACCTGACCCCGCTCCTGCCTTTCAAATGAAGCACCCTGCTTCTTTCCACATCCCTCCTGCAAACTTCCTCGCCCACATGACAAACGGGCAAATTCAGGTTTTCTTCCTCTCCCTGAGCTCTTTCCCATGTTAAGGGGCCAAAGGGATCAGCTTTCTGCCCAGTTCCAAGACAAGGCATGGAGCCATGCACCCATGGCGAAGCCCTGTCCTGCCTGCGTGCTTGCTCTGCATGACCATCATACTGGCTACTCTTTCAAAAAAATGAAATTCTTAACATTTCTACAACTTCTTGCAGTAGCAATCAGGTAAGCGGCCTCCTGAAAATTATTCTGGCTTCACAAAGGCCAAAGAACAGGTTAGAGGTGGAGTTAAAGCCACCACTGAGAGCAGAAGTTGTCACCATCTTCTCTCTCCAACCCATTCCTGGAGGCATTCAAGGCCAGGCTGGATGTGGCTCTGGGCTGCCTGGTCTGGTGGTTGGCGACCTGCACATAGCAGGGGGTTGAAACCAGATGATCACTGTGGTCCTTTTCAACCCAAGCCATTCTATGATTCTATGATTCTGTGACTCTCTCTGTGATGACTCTGCTCCATAAAATGCAACTGTAAAACCCACTAGAAAAGAGGGGTGGCTCCAAGAAATAAAAGCTTTTTTTTTTTTCTCCTCATGAACTTCACTTGAATGAAGGTTAGATATACAGGTTTTTCTAAATAACACAGACAAATTAAAATGATAAATTAAAATCTGTAGTAGGAGGCCTTCTTTTTCAGGGCTGTATAGCTGACCCTTTTGAACCTACATTACTCAAGGTATGCAAAATATATGTGTATAATAAATAGCTCTAGAATTTATGGAGTGGAACAGAAAGGATATTAACAGGCAAGTAGAGAGGCTGTATAACCCTCACAAGGCCTTTAAAGATTTATTTTTTTAAAATGAAGGAATGCATGCATGTAAAAGGCAGTGCTTAATCGATATGCTTCTTTGTGCCTTACAGAAACACGTGCAAAATGACTCCAAACCTGCCCTCAATCTGGTCATTCTGCTGTTAGCATCAGTGGGAATAAGATTATTCACAACAGCATTTTTCTTTGATTGTAAAAAAAAAAAACAAAAACCAACCCAAACCCAAAAACAACAACTCCTCCTCCCTGTGTGGGCTCATTCCCACTCTCAGTAAAATCAATTACGAGGCTCCCAGCGACTCCGGAGGGAGTTGGATCAGGCCTCGTGGAAGTGGGTCTGCAGCAAGTGCAGAACAACGCAGTTAATATGATTTATTGTGTCCGTTCCTGTGCGTGCAGTTTTTCATTTTCTAAAGCCCGCAGTTTTGCTTTCATCCTCACGTTCGGTAGATAAGAGCTGCAGATCCGTGTTGATCTACAAGCCGGGCGCTGCAGGCTGGGGGCTGCGTGTGCTGAGCGTGAGCGCGGCGGCCGCACAGGGGGAGCAGCCCCTCCAGGGCCAGCGGGCTGCCTTGGCTGCATTGGTAAAGAAAACCTCCCACACGGGCACTGCAAAAGGTGCCTCAGCAGTCAGGAAGATTCTGCTGCAGTGGGGAAAAAAAAATACCCTTCAGTAAAAATGAGAAAAAGAAAAATCTCTCTCGTGTTTATTAAGAAAAGTCCCTCTCACAGGTCACCAACGAAGTTCCAAGAATTCACTAAAAGCTTGTTTTACAAGGAAGGCTCAGGCTCCAAAACAGAGATATTTCATTTCACTAGGCTTTTACAGATTTTACATTATTAAACACTGACATCGCTGCTTTTTGGGCTGGCTGTTGAGTAACGAGCTTCCTTAAGACCGAGAAACTGCAGGGTAAGAAGAACTGTGGTTTAATAGCTGTGAAAGAAAATTATCTAAACATGAAATAATAACATGCTTGGTGCCTAATGCATTCTAAATTAAAATATGATTTAATAAACATAGGCAACATACTCCACACAAAAAAAATCCCAGAATTGGCAGAACAAAAATCACAGTTTAGTCAGTTCTTCGCTTAACCTCACAATCCTTTGGCTACAAATTAGAATTTCTGTGAACAGGATTGATAAGAGAAATTAGGCACTGTCTTTCAGCAACAACAAAAATGTTTTAAGATGGTATACTTAGAGAAGAGCAGTATGAAACCCATCAAAACACGAAACCTTTTGTGTTTCAATGTGAGGAAAACATGGGAACCCCCAAAGCCAAAATCATAACAGCTCGATGTGCCCTGTGCTCCACATCCTATGACATGCACTCCTAAGTTTTCATGGACCTGAACCTCTTCCTCAACTTTATCTGCCATTGAAACTCTGGTCCAAATGCAGTCCTGATCTAACACAGCCTTTCAGCCTCACCTCATCGTGCAGCTTGGCCAGTGCCCGATACAGTCCTCAAAAAGCACACTCACCACACATGCAGCTCTAGGGATGCCCTGCAAGGGCTGCAGGCAAAAGCAGTCGGCTGCCCTCCGAAAGGGCACTCACATTTGTGTTATTACAGATTTCCACAATAGTGGATTTGAATGTCCCCAGAATGGTGGCAGGTTTCAGAGTCTCAAACCATCCACACAAGTTCTTCAGTTCTGCGTATGAGCTACACAATGGGTTTCCCTTCTACATTCAGATCTTGTTATGAGCCTGGTTACAAAGTCAAGAAAAGTTATTAATAATAGATGCTTATCTCAGTCTCACTTTGGGAGGCATCATTTCTACGTCCTAGATGTAAGTGTTAGAGAAAATATCCATTGCCCATGGGCCAATGGAACCTGCTTGAGTGAGGTCCACCTCACATAAACACAAAAAGCACAAGAAGCCTATACTTTTACATACACGAATTTGCTATTATCAAATTATTTTTTTCAGCCTGTTTTACAACAGATGCCATTGGTTCAGCACAAGCTATTGCTTCTAATTTAAATCTGTCCCAGTTCAGACAAATCAGTGTTCCCAAAATTCACGCTCCTGGCACTACTTCCAAATAAGCCCCAGCGGCTGCCACCTGAAATCCCACTTTTGCAAATGGACCGAGAGAGCGGCGCAACGAGCCACAGTGGAGCCTCCCTGTGCTGCTCACCCACAGTATCCACAGCCCTTAAAGCACGCTGACGCAGCACGGACGATGCTGCTGGCACCCAAGCCGTTCCTGCAATAGGAACCTGCCTGGGATGTTTGCAGGTGTGCCCTGAAACTGTACTGTTAGGGGGGGCTGCTGCTCAGTTTTGTTCAGCGGGATTTTGCTGCAGAGAATGGGTCTGCAGAAACGTATTTCAAAGCAACCATTTTGTTGTGTGGGACTGCCTGAGATCCCACGCTCTGCAGTGATGGCCGGCCACATACAGAAAGTTAGGTACTTTGTGTGAGAGCGTCAACAAACGGAACCAAGCTAAGAGCACACAAATAAAAATGAAAGCAATGAAGCACACACCCCTGGGAGGGGGAGGGGGGGGGCGGAATTGTGACTCATGGCCCAGGGACTGGAAGCCTTTGCTATGGAGGAATAAGGGTGAGGGTTGCATACAGCAGGCTCTTTAATGGCATCTCCCTAATTTAAATGATTTCTAAAGGAAAAAAATAAAAAAAAAATAAAAAACCAGCCTCTCTCTCCAGGTCTGGAGAAACAAATGCTACTTTAGATTAGTGAAACAGTAGCATCTGAGCTATGAGGAGAGTACACAATCTATCTGCAGCTATCCCATGTCAGTTATTCTGAATAGTGCTTTTATATTAGACATAGGAAAAAATCTTTATAAATATGGGCTGTTTTAATATCCCAAAGCAGGAGCAGCAGGTAAGAACTTACCATTTTCTGGCTGGTCCTTAATATCAGCTTCACTTGGCTGGCTGGGACTTTCAGATTGACTTGAATCTGAAAAACATAAAATACAGCCAAAAATTACAGGGTCTGCTGTGGAAAATAGATCAGAGGCGCCAGACTTCCTCAAAAGGCTGAGAGTACAAACTGAGGACAGGAATGTTGCACCAGGACATGATAATGCAATAGTCCCGTGCCTAGGTGAAAAAAAAAGGGAATCTTGTTTATGGCACTCTGCAGAGTGCTCGGTGTGTGTGTGCATAAATTAAGCTGCGAGAATCCTTCTTTTTAGAAAAGGCAGATTTAAACTACTCTCCTACATGTGCTTTATAAAGCAGCCTCTATGTTGTATACAAACCAGAGCCTTAATCCAACACATAGTAAAGTCTCAAAACAGATTTTGGAGCTCGCATATAAAGGTAACCAAGCAACACTACAGAGTGGTGGAGATTGTTGTCTACCCGTTTCTGAAACAAAATCTGCAAAACTGACAGAAGAGCCGAGTTTCGTTAAATGCTTTCACAGTGGTTCCACTGCTCCCAGAGCACCGGCGCTGCTCTAACGGAGGTCGGGCGCTGGGCGAACCGCTGCGGGACCCGAGCAGGGAATGGAGCAACAGCTCCCGGCCGACGGCCTCCAACAGCCACAGCAGATTTGCCTAAAATAATAAAATGTCCTACAAGAGCATATGTGTAAATATGACTGGCTTGCTGTTTTTGCACGTTGTGAACTCTGTGTTATGAGGACTCCTCTTTGCTTTGAGAATTATTCTGAGTAGAAGCTTCAGTCAAAAAATGTTTTCCTTCTGAATTATTTCTAATGCTCAGAGTTGGAAAAAATAGACCCTTTACCTGTGGGGAAAAAATATTAAAAAAACAACAACCAACCAAATTCAAATTACTGGTTTTGCAATTAGCTGATACAGGTTTTCTTTTTCCTCCAGAAATTGTTTTGTAATTTCTTGAGCCCGTCCAAAGAACTTTTTGCAGTGAACCAAAACTCAGGACCCGAAACCACTCGCTACTGCCTCAAAACCGCCTCCACTCGTGGCAAACCCATTTTCTGCCTTCACCTTGACTCCGCAGAGCTTCGAATTAGCTGTCTGAAATCTGACCGCGTTTCAGTGAGAAGTCAATGCAAGATCAAAAGGTCATGACACTTCACTGTGATTAAATTGAAAATCTTACTTCTATTGCAACAGAGTGATAACACCACCCCTTCTTTTTCTTTGAGGTATTAATAGTGCTGGAAGAAGCAGTACTACTAGTGACCTTGGGTCAAGCGATGCTAATTTATTGCTTTAAAAAGGTTCCTTGCTTTTAAGCAAATGAAGATTTTAATTACTGCAGAGCACTATAAAGAAAATGCCTATTTTAAATATTCAATTTTTTTTTTTTTTTTTTTTTTTTACCTGCTGACTGTACGCATTAGGTATCATTCAGAAGCTTAGAGGACAATCTTGTATTAATTAAGATCTACATGTTAAAAAAAAAAAAAAAAGCTCACAAAACAAATTTTGATAAATTTCAGAATATAAACATTCAGAATATCAAGCAATTTAAGTTTCAATTCCGGTGTTTCAATTTAAAATCAATGAAATTCACTAAAAACTGCTATGTTCCCCAACGTGCCCAGAGTCTGGTTCTTCTCTTTTATATTCATCATTTCCAATAATTTCTACAACGGATCTCAACAAAATAATTTATTCTTACTTTCGCAATTTTGTTTCAAATATTCACCTTCGAGGTTATGGCTATCAAAGCTCAAGAGGGTGGCAGGGGGAGGCGATGGGCACGCTGCCGCTGTGCTCTGGACACTGCATTGTGCCAGGAAGCTTCCCGCCTCTCATGCCACAAAGGTAGAGACAAAGGTAAAGTATTAGAAATGGAAAATATTTACGTGGCATTCAAAGTCAACATTCAGTGCATTTCATTTTACAGGGCACACACGGGGCCCTAGCCCTAGCCCTAACCCAACCGCCCGCGTTGGGGAAACAAAGTACTTTTGTGTGCACCGGGGGCTGCTTCCCAACCCAACACTGGGGACAAGAGAGAGGCTTCACTGTCCACAGGACATTTGTTTGGATGCTGAATTTTAACTTTCTTTCGTAACTCGGCTTACTGGGAGACATTTTGGTAACTCCTGTTTTCCTGAGACCTGTTCCTTCTGCTGAAATTAAATATTAATTTCTAAAAAAGACAACAAAAGCTTTCAGCAATAACCTTCCTGGGGAGGGACGGTGCAAAGCAAAGCAGGCCGAGGTGGCATTAAAACCAATGGATCTAGCAACAGCGACCATGGTTAAGGCTACCGAGCCCGCATCCTGGGCACGAGGCGCTCCGCATTGTTATGCAAGGTGGCATCCTGTGGAAACCCCAGATAAGAAGCCTGAGTGAAGGCACTTAGCCAAAATGTTTATATGCAGAATTTTGTCTCCCTGATTTTATTCAGATGCCGCAGATGATCCGGTACATATAAATGTGCCGCCACATGGTGAAAGGATTGGCAAAATTGGAGCCGCTGTATTTTCCAGGCTTGCCTGGGACCAGCCTGGTGCACCCTCCCCAGCCCGCTCACTGTTTTTCAGCAGTTGGCAGGAACTCCCGTCGGGGCCTTTTTGTTGTTTTGCACACAGAAACTTTAAAATCCCCATTTTGTGAATGTTTGGTGTTCTGCGGGCGCAGGTCTGTGGGAGGGGGACGCCAGACCTGCTGAGTCAGTGCGCCAAACAGGTGACCGGAGGAATAAATTAATTTTTGCCCATACATAATTGATATAAATGGAAGATCGTTTTCATAAGCATTTGCATTAAATCAATAAAATCACTTACTATAGAGCGGTTTAACAATTCATTTGATTTTCTCCTTTCTATATATTTGATAGCCACTCTGCAAAACAGTACGCACTTTATGCCTATTTTCTTTAGCAACAACACTGCCGGTTAAATTCTACCACCTGCAATAATTAGAGCCATTGGAAAACACACAAAACAAAATATACAGTAGATGCGAGTCCCTCTCGATTCCATGGCCCCCTGCGGCAATGAGCTTCATTGGTGCCTTAAGCGAAGGCTGGTAGGAAGCCAAAGAATCTGTATATTACAATAAAGTGCATGTTATTAAGGGGAGGATTTAAATGATTTCAGATGGAGTTGGAAATATTATAGTGAGGGACCACTATTAGGATTCTGATTTAAAAAAAAAAATAAAAAAAAATCACCAAGGAATCTAGTTTGATATTTAAGGGAGCTTAGCCTTGAATAGCGCAACGGGTTTTATTTGGGGTCTTTTTTTTGGTTGAAGAAAAGTTGGTTGCTGGAACTCTTAACTCTCCCTGTGCTGGAGGCGGCAGCATGAGCAGGGACATGTGAGCCCAGGACAGCGGACAGAGACCTGGCGTCACCGCAACCACGGGGAAACAATCATAAGAAACAATCAAAACAACGTCAAAGACATTCCACTCTCTGCTCCCAAAGCAAGTACGATTACGGGTAAAGGAAAAAAAAGGGGCTGGTGTCCTAGCACTGGCTGCCCTGTTCTGCCTGCTGCTCTGCTCTGGCTGCTCCCAGGCTACCGGTGTGCACAGGGCGGTGACGCCGACCCCGCTGTGGGGAAGCCCTGCACATCGGCACACCACGTCGGATTCGGCTGCAGCGGAGCGAGGCTCAGCCTGGCTGCGGGGCTGGCGGCTCAGAGAGGAGCGCTGCTTTGTTTGGAGAGAATGAAACGTTCCCAGGGACGTCTGGCCTGCGGACAGGACCAGTGTCAACAGTGTCGACAGTGCTGTTCTTTTTGTAGAGCGTGACACAGACGGTGAGGAGTTGGTGCAAACAAATCCTGCACCAAGCGTTATGCCACTTCCCAGCGTTAAACTACTTCTTGGCAGTGGGACTTGGGGAACACAGGGCATTTTCTTGGAAATGTGCAGAGTGCTTTCCAGACAGCAGCCCTGGGTGTGCCACTGGGGACCCCTTCCTACCTGCAGGAGCCGACCCTGCGCTGTGCCCGAATGAATGGGCGGTGATGGCAGATCGCACCAAAGCCAACGGCGGTGATGCCGAGAGCTGTGCCCATCCTGCAGCCCGCATTGGGAAGTGCCCGGGTTACATTTTCCATTCTCCGCATGTTTGGGGGGGGACACGACATATTGTATAATAAACTGACATATTTTATTCAAGTTTCAGAGTCCTATTTGTAATAAAATATTTATACGGCTGGGTTGTGCTCATGCAATAAATTTTTCATCTATAGTTTTGGGCACGGATTCCACCAAAGATTTATATATGTTTAATAAAAATCTAAATCATGTTCCTTTATATACAACCTTACGTGGCGAGCTTAAGGGATTTACAAACAGAAACCAGCAATAGGACCGAGGCTTTTTACACTCACTTTCCCTTCATTATACATTATAATGTAAACACGCATGCACCACTCCGTATATGCCGCAGTTCTTATTTATGGCTATTTCGGTGGCTACTACTATTTCACTTCAGGAAGGCCTGGCTCTCCGTTGAGCTCCAGCCATTGCTTTCAAGCCAACTTTTGCAGGGAGTTCAAAGCGCCCCGTTGTCACACGCCGCACCGTCACACGCACAGCTCGCCGGGCCCATTGTGCCCGGACAGCACCGCGTCCCTCTGGCTGACACACATGGGTTGGCGGTGGTGAGACCCCACCATGGCAGCCTGGTTTCTATCGGGCAAGGAGTCTTAATTCCTGTACACTGGGAAAGAGATTATCTTTGATAATGGAAATGTAAATCAAAGCTTGCTGTTGTTTATTCCAGACAGACATTTGTGTGTTAAGTCTGTTTATCAGGCAACACTTTGTCTAAGCCAGGAAGTAGTCAGCCTTTGTAACAAGATGTATGCAAATGATTTTCCCATGAGCCCTTGCCACAAAACTTTTGTGGCCAAAAAAAAAACTCCTTGTTACTCCACCGGCAAGACGCTCCTAAGCCACCCCGTAAGCAGACTAGCAACAAAACAGCCAGCTAGACTATGCTGATGAGCCTGAATGGGACCCAGCCATGTGCCCGCAGTCTGCTGCTCGGC